AAACATCAAAAAATGCTGCGTTCTCTAAAAAGTAAAAAAGTTTAAAAATAAGATTAGGAAATTTTTTTTTAATAAAAATGAATTTCTGCTTACACTAACACCCTTAGTCAATGTAACTATTTGCATGTTCTTTCTGAGACACATACCATACTGAGACACATACTTTGCAAAGGACATTGTAAAGGTTGCCGGCAGTTACACGTTGGAATAATTGTGTTTGAATCATTAGATAATACTTTTTTATTGTGTGAGTTAGTAATGTTGGTGACTATGATGGTGAAATAAAGAGGCCAACTAACTCATATACTTCAGCCCCATCGAAACTTCCCATATTGATGTGATCCTAATTTTGACATCACTATGGGAGGTTTTGGTGGGGCTGAAGTATATGAGTTAGTTGACCTCTTTATTTTACATACTTTAAGTCAAGACTATGGATTGCAAGCCAAAGTATTATATAGAGATGATAGCCTTTGTTATTTTCATGGATTTTATGGACCACAATCCGAGAGAATTAAGAAAAACAATGTTCATCTTTTTAAGGAGAAATTTAAAACATATTATAAAAACCATTTTGAGAATTATAAACTTTCTTGATGTTACCTACAACCTGTCAGAAAATACTTTCCAGTCATACAGAAAACCAGGTGACCACGCATTGTACATCAATGTAAATTTTAACCACCCCTCCTAGTCTTAATAATGAATAGCCGAATGAATATTATTATTAATGCGCATAGTTACGCGTATTTTTTATAGTTACGGTTCGGTTCTGTATCTGTAAAATACACTTTTTAAGTAGTTTCTAGACTTTTCTTTACCGCGTGCTTTCTTAAAGATTTCCTTTCAACCTTTCATGGTACGAGTTTAAAATGTCTAAGTTGACATAAAGTAGATAATATTTTTTATAGTTACGCGTATTTTTTATAGTTACGGTACGGTTCTGTATCTGTAAAATACACTTTTTAAGTAGTTTCTAGACTTTTCTTTACCGCGTGCTTTCTTAAAGATTTCCTTTCAACCTTTCATGGTACGAGTTTAAAATGTCTAAGTTGACATAAAGTAGATAATATTTAGTACCTTAAAATTATAGGTAATCTAATTTTTTTTTTAAATTTAAAAGTAATTAATTTATTGTAATCTTTTTTAAATTGTAATTTTAAATTTAAAGCTTCGTGTTATAGATTACTTTAATTCTTAAATTGTGTCTAGCGTTGTAAGATATTTATGGGTAGTTTCATGCTTTCACTTAGTTTTGGTTATTGGGATAAAAGCCATCACAACATTTTGTTATAAATTTATCTTAATTTAATTTTTATTGAAAGTTTTGTTATAAATAAAATTTATCTTTAATATTGTTAATACTTTTGCTCTTTGAAAAAAAATATGTTTCTGGCTCTTCAATAAATATAAAATTATTTGTCTTGCATGAATGAATTTTGGTTTAGGATTTAATTGTGTTATTTATGTTTGTCTATCTGTAATTTATTTAGGTTATTAGAAAATTCATGTTTACAGACCCAGCGGGCATCCGATGTCGATCCGACGTCGTGTTTACGTTGAAATAACATTGGCGACGTCAACCGACATTAAAAGATGTCGTTCTGACGTCAATATTACGATATCAGAACAACGTCTTTATTCTGACGTCTGCTGACGTCTATTGACATCGTTCTGACGTCGTTCCGACGTTGCTTTACTGATGTCGGAACAACGTCGTAATATCAACATCGTTCCGACGTCATTTAATCTCGTAGAAAAAACACGTTTTATGGTTTGTTGAAACAAAAAAAATCCAGCGCGTGTAAAATATTCCATTCTTTTTTTTTTTTTTTTTGTTATTTGCGATTTTAATGTGGGGGTGTATGTATATATATATATATATATATATATATATATATATATATATATATATATATATATATATATATATATATATATATACATACATATATAAATATATATATATATATATACATATATATATATATATATATATATATATATATATATATATATATATATATATATATATATATATATATATATATATATATACATACATACATATATATATATATATATATATATATATATATATATATATATATATATATATATATATATATTTTATAAACGCTTTTTCAGACTCATAGCTTCTTAAGTTCAGACTCATAGCTTCTTAAGTCAAGCTTTATGCTTTTTTTTTTAACTCTCTCTCTCTCTCTTTCTCTCTCTCTCTCTCTCTCTCTCTCTCTCTCTCTCTCTCTCTCTCTCTCTCTCTCTAAGAGAGTTAAAAAAAAAAGCATAAAGCTTGACTTAAAAATATATCAAGTAGTTAATATAAGACATCTAAAGATATGATACAAAGTAACATTATTTTTTTTCTTGATTTTACTATTTGTGATTTTAATGTGTGTCTGTATGTGTATGTGTGTATATATATATATATATATATATATATATATATATATATATATATATATATATATATATATACACACACATACACACATACACATATATATATATATATATATATATATATATATATATATATATATATATATATATATATATATATATATATATATATATATATATATATATATATATATATATATATATATATATATATATATATATACACACTCATACACATACAGACACACATTAAAATCACAAATAGTAAAATCAAGAAAAAAATAATGTTACTTTGTATCATATCTTTAGATGTCTTACATTAATAATTGGACAGCGCATAATCGAGAAATCAATCATCTAATCAACAATGCCCTGGCTAATGATACTGATGATGATGTACAACTTATTAATAATAAAGTCAAATCTCTTTCTTCTGAGTCAGTTAATGATTTTGTTGAGGATATAAGTAATAATAATAATACATCAGATTGTAATTATTCTGATATTAGTTTTGACAATGGTGAGCCTATCTTAGAACATTCTTTTTCTGAAAAACTAGCATCCTGGGCTGTTCGAAACAAATGTACGCGTGCATGTATTAATGAACTTTTAGAGATTCTTGTTAACAATGGACATAATGAATTACTAAAAGATAGCCGTACACTGTTAAAAACGCCAAGTGATATACATACTTTACCTTTAAGTGGGGGAGAATATGTTTATCTGGGTATTTTAAATGGTATAATGAAAATACTGGAGTCATATACAGGAAACAAGTTGTCTTTGAATCCAATATATTTAAAAGTTAATATAGATGGGGCTACTTTGTTTAAAAGCAGTAGTAAGCAGATTTGGCCGATACTTGGTGCATTTGGTGGAATGAAACCTTTTATTATAGCATTGTACTGTGGTATGCAAAAACCAGATCCTGTTTCTGAATTTCTAAAGGATTTTTTAGAAGAATTTGAGGATTTAAAGGCTTTAAGTTTGATGACTTGCTGTTTAAAGTGGGTTTAAAATATTTGTGCTGTGATGCTCCAGCAAGACAGATGTTAAAATGTGTAAAGGGGCATAGTGGGTATGACTCTTGTGAAAGATGCACTGTTCATGGCACACATTTTGAAAATAGAATGATTTTTGAAGAACAAGAATGTCCTTTGCGTAATGATATGGACTTTTCACAAGAGATTTATCTAGGAAGCCATCAATTAAATCGAAGTATTCTTCTTGATTATGAAATTCCTTGTGTTAAAAACGTTTTGCTGGACTCGATGCATTTAGTTTTTTTAGGTGTTACAAAAAGGCTACTATCTTTCTTGAAAGAAGGTCCAAGAGTATGCAGACTCTCTCAGATGAAAATAAACCAAATTTCTTGTCATCTAGAACAATTAAAGTTGCCAAGTGAATGTGGTAGACAGCCAAGATCTTTAAAAGAGCTAAAACTGTGGAAAGCCACTGAGTTTAAACAATTTCTCTTGTATACTGGACCAGTTGTGTTAAAAGGAGTTCTTTCAAAGGATAGTTATATACATTTTCTTTCCTTAAGTATTGCTATAAGAATTATGTGTTATTCAGAGCTAGAAAGAAGAACCCAATTGTTGCTTTATGCCAAAGAGCTGCTTGAGTGGTTGGTTTTTAATGTTAAAGATTTATATGGTCGAACTTTTACAACATATAATACACATTCTTTGATTCATATACATGAAGATGTATCAAATCATCAAGAATTTCAATGTCGGCATTTCAGTTTGAAAATCATATGCAGGTATTAAAGAAATTTATAAGAAACTCAAATAGCCCGCTTATTCAAAGCATAAAAAGAAGTTCAGAGCTGGAAAATGCATACGAGTCGATTAAACAAAAATGTATAAGAGATGAAATCTCTACTGTCAACAGGAATAGTTGGTTTTGTTTAAAGAATGGCGACTTAGTTAGTGTAACAGAAAAGTTAACTAATGATTTGTTTATTTGTAAAGTGGTTGACAAGAGGCGTACAAGGCATCTTTTTCTAAAACCTTGTGACTCTAGATATTTAGGTATTTATGTAATTGATGAAGATATTGAAATTAACAATAAAGAAATTTCTAAGAATGATATTATTAGGAAACTTGTATGTCTAACTCGAAATCAAAGCTATGTTTTAATTCCCTATGTTCACAACATCCGATTTTAATTTAATTCTCTTATTTATAACAAATACATATTTATTTATATATAATCTTTTTTTTCATATTTTCTCAACCTCTTTTTGAGGTTGAGCATTTTTCGTTTTTCTCGTTTTTAATGTTGGAATTATTCAAAGAAAAAATTGCTTAACCTAAAAAAATAACAATTGTTAGTTAAACACTTTTAAAAAAGGTATTACAATTTTTTGGCTTTTAAAAAAGATATAATATTTATTATTGTTGACATAGCTGAAAAATATATTTTGTAATTGTAGGCAGAGGGTTGTAACCAAAATGAATAACAAAAAATTAAATTTTGAGGAGAAAATTAGTTTTTTTATTTGTCTGTCTGAAAAAAGTGTTTATATGGGCTATATATACTTTTACATACCTTTACGTACCTTTATCATAATCATGTCATAGAGCTTAGTTTCTTTGTATTTATCTTTCAGTTAAAAATGTCATATACAAGAGCTTGTTGGGTTGAAAAAAATAAAGACTATAAAAGAGTTATTCCGTCAAGTTGGGTTGACACAGCAAGAAAAGTAGTGCACTGGCCGAATGGTCTTCAGGTGAAACGTGCGTATGAAAATTTGGAAACTCCTAAACCTGGATGGAAACAATTCTCTCTTATCAAATGCAAAATGTGTGGTTTTTATTCATTATTTACAAATTGTTGTAGTGTATTTTTGTTGATTTTATAACTGAGAAAGTAACTTCTATTTCTAATTTTTAAGGTACAAAAGAAGACTGTGAGGGATGCACAGACTATACAACAACGGACGAACAACCAACAGCACCAAAGGAAAAAATTATTTCTGAGAAAGGTAAGATAAGAGCATTCACGATATCTTGTAGATATTTTCAACGTTAAAGTACTTTGTATAGTAACATATTGTTATTGTGTCACTATTTTTAAAAGTCTTTTATGTTCAATAATTGTAATCATTCATTTGATCTACGCAGTTTAGGCTCATTAAACTAGTTTTATTTTAATTTAAATTGAATTAATTGTTAATTAGCATTAATCTTCTTTTCATTTATTTTTGTTAATTTATTCTTTTAAAATGAAGAAAACGTCTATTCAAATATACTTCCTACTTTCCCAACTCAAAATCCAAGAGATATACCTCTAGCTAAGTATCAGCAGAGCAAACCTCAGCATTCCAACAGAATATCACAACAATCTAACTTGACCAAAATCAAAGAATCTTCAAGCAAACATTCGAAATCCAACCCAGTTGAACCACCACCACCAAGAGTAGTTCACTCACAATGTAGTTCCTTGTCAAGGTCATGTTCACGATCAAATTCACAGTCAAGGTCGCATTCACGCTCAAGATCACGTTTGCAGTCAAAATCTCATTCACAATCGAAGTCTTACTCAAGGTCACAGTTGCATTATTCCCGATCTCGGTCAAACTCTGACTCTTCAAGATCTTCATACTCAAATTCTAATGTCACCTGTCCTGGCTTGGTTGAAGTATCACCAATTGTCTACAAATCTTCTTGTATGCAAAGAAAAGATGCTGTCGTTTTAGGCGAAGAGACTTCCCTATTGATGATAGGGGTATGAATTTTTATTATTATTTCAGGATTTGGTTTTAAATGTTGATTTATTGTTGATTAGTCTATTTTCTATACTTCTATCATGTACTCTATAATGGAATAATATATTTTTATTTTTGTATAAAAATGAATGGTATTTCATTGTACTAATTTTCTTTTTTTAATCACTAATTGGCTCTTTGTAAAAGAAAAGTGATGTTGGTGACTAATTAGCTCTAATAACTACTTAAGGGGAAATTTTATTAAAGATACATGTTTAAATAATTTTCCATAAATAAGTAATTTTTTAAAGTACCCATGGTGTTTTAAACATGGAAATATTCAAAACTTCAAAATTAAAAACTCTCATAAAAATAAATCATTGGTAAACTGCATCAATGATCACCTGTTTCCATGATCATCATTGATAAACTGCATCAATAATCACCTGTTCCCTCCATTTAGATTATCAATACACTGTGATAAAGCTGCTAACAAAGCAGTTAGAGAACCAAGATAAGATCCTCAAATACTTCGAAACAACAGTTGATACTGTTGTAAAGGGTAATCTGCCAGCAAAATTTCTTGAAGTCAATCAACTATTAGATTTTGACAAGATTTTACATAATGATGAAGATATGTCCAATCAACTTGTAAGTTGTGTTTTATTAAAAGACATTATATACACTGTAGAATAAGCATTTCTAATTATTTTAGATAGGAGGTTTATTTGAGGGTAGTGAATGTTGAATTATTATTTGATTAAGATGAGTGTTTGTAGTAATGTTAACACATAATAAAATTCTTAAATGTCTTAATATCGAAGTTTATAATATCAGTCTTTCTATTTACAAAGTCATTCACAAACCACCGATTATTTTATTATTATGGTATTACAGTGAGTTAGTTGATAACATAAAAACTCTGTCTTATCTGTGTTAATATCAATAATGTCTTTTCTTTTAGATTGCTCGTCTTTCAAGAGTTGGTGGCACTACATTGAAAGAAAATATTAAAAACATTTTAGAAAGGTGATGAAAATTGCATTAAACATTTAACTTTCAATGTTGGAAATATTATAGAACAAATCAAAGTTAGTTAAAAGTATATCAAATATTGAAATAATATCATAAAGCTTAATGATACCTCCTCCATGTTTGACAGTTGGTCTTATACATTTAAGGTTTAAGCACTAACAAATAATTTTGGTTCATAAAAACCATAAAACAAAAAACCCATAAAACTCTTCACCATTGATCCAAAGAGTAATTCAAATGCTTCTTAGCCCAATCTTTTTTTTATAATCTTTTTACAAAAGATATGCTTTTTGGTGGCAACTACCCACAAAACCTTAATTTTTAAAGCGATTGCGAACAGATTAAGGTTTTAAAGTTATACCATGATCTGTTTGTAAATCTTTTGCTAGCTTTGGTGCAGATAGTCCTCGATCTTGTTCAACTTTCCGAATAATTTCTCTATCAATGGGTATGGTAGTTTTAGCTGGGTGACCATTTCTTGGCAAATTTTCATATTTTTCTATTAGTGTAGGAAACATAATATTAGGCTTACCATTTATTATTTTAGAAATAGTTGTTTATCCTTTTCCACCTTTAAAGTGTCCCATGATCAATTTGTGTACTGATTCATAATTTTAATGTCTTTTCATGATGATCTTTTTATCAAGAACTTAATCAAAACCTTTGCTCAAAAATTAGTTTAAATAACTTCAATCAATCAATTTTGTTTGTTTTATTTATTTTTTTTATATGCAGTTTTATTATGTTATACAATAGAAAAGTTTAAAAACCATTGGACTTTTTTGACTTGTGATTTTTACGATTCATTAGATAATTTTTGTTTTAAATATAAATATATGAATGTTGTGTTAAAAAGACTTAATTTAATATTAATTCTCTCTCTATTTTTATATAAAAATAGGGTCAAAAATTTAAATTTAAGCATAAAAAACGAATTTTTATTGAAAAATCTTCAGGGGGTAATAGACTTTATTAACATAATGTGTGTGCATGTATATATATATATATATATATATATATATATATATATATATATATTATATATATATATATATATATATATATATATATGTATATATATATATATATATATATATATGTATATATATATATATATATATATATATATATTTATATATATATATATATATATATATATATATATATATATATATATATATATATATTTATTTATTTATAAAAGTAGTATTTTTTAATTTTTTTAATAGTAATTTTTCTTTATAGTTTGATGTCATACAAAGTTATGGCTGGTTTTAATATGAAAGGAAATAACCGGAACGAAAAAAATAAGCAAGAAGTTCAGGATAAACTAAGTTTTGAAAAGTTGAAATTTTTTGAGCTTATTATTGGTAATTTTTCTGGTATTACTATAAACTGTTTAATATCATATTTTTTTGAAGATGGGTAAATCTTATCTAGCCTTTTTAAATAAAGTTAAATATATTTAATGATTGTTTTTTTCATTTATATATAGATTTTTAACTATTCTTGCCATTCAATTTATAAATTATTTTTTTAAATAATTTAAGATTTAGAAACCGAATTGTTTTTTAAATTAATTTTGTTTTAGTCTTTATATATTTATACCTTTATTCTGTCAATTTCTGTTTAGAAAGTATTCTGACGAAAAGAAGCGAAGCTACAATTTCCGATATCAAAGCGGAAGTTCAAAAAATATTGCGGTATGCACCAAGCAAAGTTGTTGTCAAGGATGGTGGGCTTCTCCCGAAAGATCACATAGAAACCTAGAATTTTTTTTTTTTATAGTAAATGCTTTTATTCCAGAAAATATATGCTATTTTCCAATTGTATTTATTATGTCTGTTTAACATCGCTCAACGTCGATTGACATCGATTTTACGTCGGAAATCCGACGTCGTTTCGACATCGCTCAACGTCAAATGACATCGTATTTATGTCTGTAATCTGATGTCGTTCCAATGTCTTTTTTTTGACGTCGAAAAACCTTTCCAAATCCAACCTAAATCCGATGTCGATCCGACGTCAATCCTGACGTAAATCCGACGTCAAGCGACATCGTTTCGACGTCGCTTTGCCCACTGGGAGAGTTGTTATTAATCATAATCGAGTTGTTAAACCAAGGAAACTGTGGAGGTTTATTTATCATATATACTATATATATTATATAATTATATTGGAGGGAGTAAGTTTAAAAGCATTTTTAAATTTTTAAAAAGAAATAAAAACACTTTTCAATATATATCTGTTTTCTTTGAGGTAGAATTAAAGTTTCAGTTTTTTAAAACTTTAAATTAACTTTACAATATTAAAATGGTTTAAACAAACTTAAACGAATTTTTGTAAATAAATTTAATCCTCAAAGATTAAATTTTTTTTATTATTGAAGAAATTGAACTAGATTTAAGAATGAGTCGACTTAAATGTTTGTTTGTTTTTGTATTTAGATGATGACAATATTGAAGCAAGGAAGTTAAAAAGCATTTTTAATATTTTAAAAAGAAATAAAAATACTTTTCATTATATATCTGTTTTCTTCGAAGTAGATTTAAAATTTCAGGTTTTTTAAATCATATATATTATAAGATTTAAGAATGAGTCGACTTGAATGTTTGTTTGTTTTTCTATTTAGACGTAGGTGATAATATTGAAACAAGTAAGTTATGAAGCATATTTAAATTTTTAAAAAGAAATTAAAATACTTTTCAATATATATCTGTTTTCTTCGAGGTAGATTTAAAATTTCAGGTTTTTAAAATCATATATATTATAATATTAAATTCTTTTTTACTTTAAAAGTATCTATATTATAGTTACACTGAGTCGTAGAAAAAAAATTAAAATTTATTAATAAGGTAGTAGATAATTAGATTAGATTAAATTGTTTGATCTATTAATCAACTTAATAACGTACTATTAAAGTGAAGATTTATTTTGGTTGTTTGTTTGTTAAAATTTAGTTAGAGTTTATTTAAAATTTTAATTCTTTAGTTAATCAAGAGAGATCTAATAAAGGTATTAATTACATTAGTTGAATGTGGCATTTAATATGTATTTTATCAATATTTTAACGTCTAAACATTAAAGTGCTTTTGTTGTTTTTACAGAAGTGAAGAAGGAAATAAGTCAGTGTTTTTGCTATTAGATATTTGTTAATAGAAATTTGTTTATTTGTGCTGCCACTGGAATTTAAAAAAATCAAGTTCTTTAGCTTTATTTTATACTTTCTTTTAGGGGAGTTGGAACAAAAACTAAGTATAAATTATGATTAGTTTAGTTTAATAAATAAAGCATTAATATTTAGAAGATTTAAAGTTTACTTTAGTTTATTGTTATGGTTTAGTTTATAGTTTTGTTTTTAGCTTTAGTTATTTTTTTCTTACTTTAGACAACTTTATGGATGAAATGAGGGGGATAGGTAAAACAATTATTTAGATATGTATATATTTTTATGTTAACATTATTTTATCGATTATATTATATTTATTTAAGTATATATTTGTCATTAGTGTCTGGTGGAAGTATAGCTGGTAGGGCTGTGTTTTATATTTTATATGTTTTGTATGGAGAAATATGTGCAATAGGTGGAAAAATTATTTAATAAATATGACACTTTTGAACTGGTTGCATTATTGCCCTATATTTTGATTAAAATACAAAATGTTGCATGTTTAACCCTTATTAATTTGCTCTCTCATTTTTTTTTTTTTTAGCATCTTCTGTTTGAAATGAAAATGGTGAGGTTATGCTAATTTTTTTTTTAATAATTGCAAAGGTATAATTTTTATTATATTCTTCTATTTGTAACTTTAGATTCCTTATCATTCGAAGAATACAAAAATTACCGCTCCCAACACCCGGGACCTCTCTCAGAGAGGTCCTTCAAAAAATGGAAAGATCATGGCGGAATGGATAAGCCCTCTTTTAAATGGAGGGCTCATCCATACCGGGGTGTTGGGAGACACCGAAGAAAAAACAGCAACCAAAAGGTTGTAAATGTCTTAAATGTTGTAAATGTTGTAAATGTTGTAAATGTAAAGGTTGTAAATGTTGTAAGGTTGTAAATGTTGTAAAAATCTATCAGTAGAGATATTTATGACTTTTTAGTTGCTGCTTTTTCTTCGGTTTTTTTTTTTTTTTAATTTTTAAATTCGGTGTTTTTTTTTTTAAATTTTGTAATTTTTTTTTTTTTAAATATATATTACGTTGTATATTTGATTTGTTTTGATCTTTTTTAATGAATATTTTAACTGTTTTCTTACCAATTAAACCTGTCTTCAAATTTAAAGCCCTCTTAAATACCCCTCCCTAAAATCTAAAGTCGAAAGTTGAATTGATTCATTATCCAATTATCATAATATAATGATGCTGCATTCTTTTGTTAAAATAATTATTTGGTATGTTTCATTTATTGAACTCACTGCTTTTAAAATTTACCAAAACCCAAGGCAATATATTTAGCTATATAAATACAACTTATTTATCTTAATTCCATTCTTCATCTTTTATGTTTATAGTTTGGCTCCTTGAAACATTTTATGTTTTTCTTTTTTTATTATGAGTATTTTAAATCCGTTGTGATGTCTTTTAAATTAAACTAAAGTTTACTAAAAGCCAACATAAAAATTACGTTTTTGAACAACACCAAAAAGAACAGTTGCATCCTTACAGCAACTGCTGCAGTATCAATAGGTTACCAAAAGCAGGTATACTGTTTTCCAGTTGTTGTTGTTTTTTTCATATATATCTACTTATCTATATAATACCATAGTACGATTGTTTATATCTCATTCATTTTTTTTATCTTTATCTTTAAGTGTTAATAATTTTATTCTTTGAATGAGATTAGTTAAACAAGTCGGCTTTCCATTAAAGATATTGGTTTAAAATTGAACGCCATTGGCAAAATGCTTACAAAATTAGGTAGTTTTTAAAAATCTGTTTTCTATTTAATACACTATTTTTTAAATATACTTTTTAAATATACTTTTTTAATATACTTTTCTATAACAATCCTACTAATATGGAATCACGTACCTTTTTAAATATGTTTAATTGTCGTCCCTATCGGTAATAAATATTTTAAGTTATTTGATATGGTTTTCTTTACAATAGGCTATGCTTGGCTCCTCGGTGCTGTAAATGGTGGCTTCAACTTTGTTTTTTTAAGAAAAATGTGTTTTATATATGCTTCTGTTTTAAAATATTTTTGTTACATATTTAACTATATATCATGTAAATAAATTTCTTTCAAAGATATGTAAACTTGATACTTGCTTTTTTACGGATTTTCAAAACGTGAACAAAGGTTTAAATATATTTTTTAACTGTCTTATATGATTTTATCAATTTTATTAAAGCTGAATAATTACTTCAACAATATTGAGTAAAATCCAATTGCTTTTATTATTAACCTGATCTATACAAAAATTAATGAAATAAAACTAATAATTTAACGCCAAGTTAAGGCAAAATGTATTCCGGACATTTTATAAAATTAGTATAAATATGGATTGGATGTATGCTGAAATAAATATGTTGATACACGTTAGCTATTAAAGTAAATCCATATATTCCTTTATTGTTTTTTTTATAAACAAGTTTCTGCTGGATTACTAATTAAAAAAAAGGTTGGTCTAATAATAATCTTTATCATAATAATATAGGATCCGTATGCAGGGCTAAGCCCCTTTCGGAATTGCAATATATTTTTCAACTTATAGTTTTTTCAGATATCTTCTATGCCTACAAGTTTTTTCAGATAACTTCTATGCCTTCAAGTTTGGGTGTAATATTTTAGATGTTTTGAAAATATTTCAAAAGTATATTTATAATATTGAAAAGTTTAGGTGCGATAGTGACATATTTTTAAGCTCTTCACTCAGTTAAATGAAAAGTTTCAAAAAAAAAGAAACGACTCAGCTTAAAGCAAAATCGAGACTAGAATATATTCCTAATATTTACCTAAACAATTTTACGGAATTTGAAAATTTGACATCGATGTTCTGTGCATATAATTCAAGTCATTTTTAACTACTACAAGGTTGTGATTTGCGCATTCAATGTCTGAACATTGCAAAAGAAATGGTTAACTTTATCTTTAATGAAGCTAAAAGTTCTCTTAAACTAAGAAGCCAAGAAAAATAAAAGTGAGCTCAACTAAAATATTGTATTAATAAATTTATATTTCATTAGAGAAAGTTAATAAAGATCAAATTGTTAGTAATTTTTTATTTACTACTAACCCGTATTACGGGTTGCTTACTGTATAAATAAATTTATATTTTATTAGAGAAAGTAAGTAAATATCAAATTGTTAGTAATGATTTATCTACTACTAACCCGTATTACGGGTTGCTTATTGTATAAATAAATTTATATTTTATTAGAGAAAGTAAATAAATATCAAATTGTTAGTAATGATTTATCTACTACTAACCCGTATTACGGGTTGCTTACTGCTAGTATTATTAAATCCATACCAACTAAGATATCTAACCATATTAGTAATATTTCATCTAGCAAGAATGTTTTTAATAGAGCAACATCGTTTTATAACAATGTGTTGGCAACAAGTGGGTATAATGAAAAGATTACTTTCCAAAAAAATCTAGCCTCATCAAAACCAAAATCAAGATCACAAAACATTTTTTGGTTTAATTCTCCGTTTTTGTAAAATGTAAAAACCAACGTTGCAAAATATTTTTTAAATCTAATTGAAAAGCATTTTCCAAAAACAAAGTTGTGCAAAATTTTTAATAGAAATAATTTTAAAGTCAGTTATAGCTGTCTTTTAAACATCACAAATATCATTAATTCACACAATAAAAAAGTATTATTTAATGATTCCAACACAATTGTTCCAACATGTAACTGCTGGCAACCTTCAGAATGTCCTTTGCAAGGTATGATCTTTCAGCGATCTTCAAATCACCTTTAAAGATCGCTAATACAAACATAAAACTCCTTTTAATACGAAAGTAAAGCTAATGCTACAGAACTTTCTAAACATATCTGGGAAATAAATTAATATTGAAGTGTCGCCACGAAAACAAATTTGTTATCTGCAACTTTTATTTTATCTAAGCTAACACTGTATTGCATTTTTGTATATAATATTTGTTGTTGTTATGGTTGTTTGTAATGTCTGATGATCGCATAAAGTGTGAAACTCCGAGCAGTATTATAAATTTATTTGTACTTTATTATTATTCTAATGTAGTATATATATATATGTATATATATATACATATATATATATATATATATATATATATATATATATATATATATATATATATATATATATATATATATATATATATATATATATATATATATATATATATATATATATATATATATATATATATATATATATATATATATATATATATATATATAGATTTGCAGTTAAATTAAACCCAAGCATTAACTTTTATTTTAATAAACCTAAATATATTTTTTCAATCAAAACTAAGTTATTTATTTTTGAAATCTAAATTTAATTATTTTTTTTTTGTCAGAATAAAATTATATATTTTTATTAAATTAGTTTCAAATAAAATCATATATATATATATATATATATATATATATATATATATATATATATATATATATATATATATATATATATATATATATATATATATATATATATGACGGAAAAAACACATACTGAAACATTTTAGTTCCTGCGTAATAAGCTCTAGATTAATAGTATAAAAGAATAAATAGGAGGTAATCTAGTGTTATTCAGGGTGGTAACCTTCCTTTACACTTTATAAAAAGAAACATGCATTCAACATCACTGGATGTAATCATTCCAGAAGGTCTGAGGTCAGGGCACCATTCAGACATATCCAAGAAACATCATAAATGGTTTAAGTTGTTCACCAAATCATTTAAACTCCTTAATGATGAAAACAAAACCCTGAAAAAAAAAATTTAAGAACTTGAATGAAAAATCGAACCTGGGATGTCCAGACCTGATCTTAATTGAACTAGACAGCATAGACACTTAACAGTTTGTAATTAGTAATTCAAAGAAGTTAAAAGAAATTAATATATCTTCAAAAATGTTTACATTATCAAGGACAAAATTGGAAATGAACAACTATTTGACAATGAATTAAGAAAAATCAGAAACACAAAAAATGCAGCTCTTACTCATGAAGTTCTTGGAAGTAATGGGAGGAAGTAACATTTGTTACAAAAGTTTGAATGACAATTATGTTTGATATAAGCGCTTTTTACAAATGAAAAAACTCAAATATAAATTAAAATAAAAAACTCAATTAAAAAACAAAATAAAAATTAACTTTTAACGAAATAAAATTAAAAGTTAATTTTTTTTTATTTTTTTTACTTTCTTGTAATGAATGATTTTTTAAGCTTGAAGCAAAGATCATAAAAACATAATTTAATTCTGATAAAATATATGATAATAATAAAAAAGCTGTTAAATAACATTTAACTTGTTCTGTGGTAAATAAAAATTTTTGTTATAATTTAAAGAATTTAATGTCTTTAAATAATAAAAAAAATAAAAAGAACTTTATGACGTCAAATATTGCGTTAAGCTAAAGCATTAAGCATTTTTTCAACCAGATGATCAATAACATAAAGTGCTTAACATATTTTTAACTCAAAATAAAATTTTGTATAATTAAGTTAAATTAAATTAAGTTATTCTCTTTGTAATAACTTTGCATATTCTAATATTTAAATTGTTTAAGTTATTTAAGAAATAAAAAATTTGCTAGATTTTATAAAATAAGAAAATATGCAAAATAATAATTTATTTTTAAATATTATTAGCTTTAATTTATTTTTTGAATGTTTCATTTTTTTTTTACTAGTTATGGTTATATAAAGTTGCATTTCTGACTTAGCTTAAAACCTGTTTTATTTTTTTGTAACAATATGTATGAAACCATATAGTTCTAATTATTTGTTTTATTGAACTTATTTTTTATCGTTACAAATAATCTGTTTTTTTTAAATATAGGTTAGAGGTGGTAAAGCTGTTTTTCAATTTTATCGTGATAGCCCTGATCAGGTATTGTAAATTTTATATTAGCAGTTAGTGACTAGCAATCTTCTATACAAAAAGCCTGTAACTGTAATAAAAGATGTTTATAACTTTATTAGGATGTAATCTTCTTTTGTCATTATTTTATCATTTCAAATGATAAAATGAAACCATATAGTTCTAATTATTTGTTTTATTGAACTTATTTTTTATCGTTACAAATAATCTGTTTTTTTTAAATATAGGTTAGAGGTGGTAAAGCTGTTTTTCAATTTTATCGTGATAGCCCTGATCAGGTATTGTAAATTTTATATTAGCAGTTAGTGACTAGCAATCTTCTATACAAAAAGCCTGTAACTGTAATAAAAGATGTTTATAACTTTATTAGGATGTAATCTTCTTTTGTCATTATTTTATCATTTCAAATGTTTCTAATTGGTTTAAACTATACACTTTTTTTCATTTAAAAAAAAAAAATTGTCATGTATCTTGGTTAATGTCTAGTTTAGTAAAAATGGTAAAAATAAAATTAAATAAGCTTTAAAGTTTAAGTAATACAAGTATATATGTGTATAATTGTTTTCTTAAAAATGACAGTTAAAATTTACATATGTTGGGTTATTTATATATATATATATATATATATATATATATATATATATATATATATATATATATATATATATATATATATATATATATATATATATATATATATATATATATATATTTATTTATTTTTTCTTCGTATAATATATTTGTCTTGATTAGTTTTTCATGTCTTGCATAAGATTTGATAAAAGTTTCGCTATATTATATTTATGATAATTTTTGTTTTTAGGTTGAGTTGATAACACTTCAGACTATGAAGTCTGGTTTTACAGAAGGAGTTGTTGTTGATTATCCAAACAGTTCCAGAGCTAAAAAGTTTGTGATATTCTTTTCATTTTAAGATTTTTTTAACTCTTCTCAGATTTTACTCTAACAAAGTTGAGTGAATATCAGTATGGCATTTATATTAATATTTGAAACATTACAGTTACAAATGTTAATGTTATTACTTAAATTATTTTGTTTATTTAGGCCTTTAATCAAATGCTTTCATTTCTTTAGTTATGGATATTCAGTTATTGAAAATAATGTCAAAAATCTTCTGTTAAAACATTGGGTAGGGGTGATCTGATATATGTTGACTTACTTTATAACAAGTTTACAAGCAAATATAATATGAAAAATGTTAAAAGAATTATTGAAAAATTAGACAACTTTTAAACTGTTAAAAAGCTTTTTCACATTTTTATATTACCTTCTTTTGTGGAACAAAAAGTTATAAAATGTTAGGAAATATTTTTGAATCATATAAGTACAATGGTTGTCCAACATAGGTATAAATCAGTATAAAATTTTTATGGAGATTGATCTCTTAAATGTTTTTTTAATGTTTTTTTGAAATTTTCAAATTTTTTTTTTTAAAATTTCAAATAAATTTATGTTTCAAAGTGTGCTTGCAGAAATAATAAATTATAAAAACAATTTATGCTCACCCAAGTGTAAAGAGTTTGGTTGTAAAATGGTTACCCAAGTTTGAAAGCGTATAGATGTACAAATAATGTATAATTTATATACATTAATTAAAAATAAGTCAAGTTCAAGTTTTTAATACTGGTTTCGAACAGTATAAAAAGATATTAGGAAAAAGAACGTAGATGCAGACATACTGAATTTAGATGCAGATCTAGTAAATATAGACATGGTAGATGCAAAAAAACTTTTTTTTTTTTTAACATCTTCACTTCCAAAGAGTCTGCAAGCAACCACTATTAGAGTTAAAAATTAGAAGAGAAAAGATAAAGATTGTAGAGTAAGACAACAATTGACAGACAACTTCAAAAATTGCAAATTGTATGAATCAGGAAAACAAGATGAAGGAAGCAAATTCCAAAGAACTGATGTTCAAGTAAAAAAACTAGAGGAATTAAAGTTTTTGGAGCACATAGAAACAGTCACAGAAAAAGGATAATATTTAATTGAATGACGAGTAACACGAGAAGAAATTTTATTAGATGACACAGGAGACAATGGCTTTCTAGAGCAGTGCTCATTATAGTATTTGTAGAAAAGAGAAAGGAAAGCAACATTACGATAATATGATAATGGCTAGAGGTATGATAATTGTTTTAAATTATCATAGTTATCATACAATTATCATAGTATGATAACTATGATAATTGGCTGCAAGAGCAGATCCAACTATATTTACAATGCGTTTTTGCACCTTGTCTAAAAGAGAAAGCGCATCATTAGGAGAACCACCCCAGATATGGCAACAGTATTCCATACAAGGCCGGATTTGAGATTTATAGAGATAGAGAGGAGAATTCAGAGTAAAAAAGTGTGGAGCTTGATAAAGAGATGCAACCTTAGCAGATGCTAATTTTGCAACCAATTTGATACATGGTTTCCAAGAAAGATCGGAAGAGCTGATCCTAAAAGATGAAGAGTAGATAACTCATCGAGTACATTACCGTTCATAAATATAGAGAAAATTTATAAGATCTAAATTATTGCAATACTGATTGGCTGAAAAAATTGAGTTTTATCTGAATTAAAATTTAACAGCCACTGTGAGTCCCATGCTGTATAAGTGAGATTCTTTTCAAGCTCAAATGCTCCCTCCAAGCAATCAAATAGTGTTTGCTTCTTATCATGACGAGAATAAATGGAAGTATCTACAGCGAACAATGCCACCTTAGATGTGAGAATATCTTGAAGGTTGTTAATCTAAATTAAAAAGAGTATAGGGCCAAGGATTAAACCTTGAAGAACCCATGAAGTTACTGGATATGAAGAAGAGTGCTTTCCATACAGGACAACTTTTGTACTATGATTGGAGAAGTAGGATTCAATAATCTTAAAGATGTTACCAGATACACTATAAGAAGAAAGCTTATAGAGAAGACCAGCATGCTAAACTTTATCAAACGTTTTAGAAATGTCATGAGTGATGACCTTAACCTCTCCACCTTTATTTGATGCGCAATAAAACCTATTGGTTATTACTGTTGGCAAATCAGCTGTAGAATGAGAAGATCGAAATCCATATTGATGATCAGAAAGTAAGTTACTAGATTCAAAATGAGAGCTTAAGTGTTTGTTAATTAAATATTCAAAAACCTTGCAGATGCTGGGAAGAAGACTAATGGGTCGGTAGTTAGGCAAATCAGATTGCCCTCCAGAATTTTTAAAAATAGGGATAACAGATGCAGCTTTCTCTGATAAGCATTTGTTAAATAGTTCTAAAAGTATTGATGGCAGCTTAGGAGAACACTTCTGCAAGACTATAGCAGGTATGTTGCCTGGACCACAATTTGTAGAAGAGTCTAAGCAGGAAATCACTTTAGATACAGAAGCTGGAGTGATACAAATGTCAAGCAATGCATCAACCTGTTTAATGGCTAAATCAGGTAGAACACAAATAGTGGAATCAAAAGATGATATCGATGAAAAATTCTTAGCAAACAATTCAGCTTTGTATTTAGTTGAGGTGACTCAGACAAAGTCTGAACCTTATAAGAGAGGTGGAATAACAGATTTACCCTTATTATTGATACTATTAAAGATTCTCCAGAAGTCACAAGAGTCTAATTTTTATGAAAATCTAACTTTATGAAAATTATTACATAAGAGTGATTTGGATAAAAAACACTTTTGCATATGCTTATTAGGAAATAAATTAAAAGTCTATATATATAAAAAAAAATACCTAATTTTAAAAAAAGTACAATAAATGCGAACAAAACAAAGTGTTTTATTTGTAAATCTTTCTCATGAGTATATACACATTTAAGTTTCTCAACGAGTAAATATATTTTTAGTATATATATTTAACATTATAAATGTTTTTTGAGATTAACATAATATAACTGATGTTATTAGATATATCTCTATCAGTTATATTATAATAAATTATTAATGCATCATATAGTATTATATACAGCAAAAGAGCATACCTGAACCTAATTATTAAATAAAAAATTCAACTTCTTATAAATTTTTACTGAAAAAAATGTTCATAATTTTTCATAATTATGAGCATCCGAAAAAAGAGCATAAATGTAAAAGCATCTAGACAAAAAAAACATTCAAATTTAATTTTTTTAACATTTTCTGAAATTAGATCTGTTTTCAATTGAATTCAAACTAAATTGCTTTAATACTTTGTAGGGAAGCCCTTAACACTAATTAATGCTTGATTGTGATGAGGTGTTGAGTCTATAACCTGAAGGTCTACTGTTGGTAGCTGGTATTTAGAGTTGTTTCTATGGCTTTTTGGATGATAAATATATCCAGTGTTATGGTATCTCCAGAGCCATGCGGAAATCCCGCATGGGCTTTAAGTTATTTTATCTTAGAAGGGTCTTTCAGTAAAAAATTTATTTAACTGTATTCATTCAAGTATCATAAAATATTTTTCTATTTACTTTATTTAGTTGGAAACAAAGCTTATATATGATTAATTTTTTTTTTTGAAAAAATTTTGCTTTTTGAATAAAGATATAGTACTTCTAACAAAAGAAATTGCCATTAGACTAATTAAAAATTTTTTTTTTATTGAAATTCCAATTATAAACCGAGCAGCAGTGACTCTTGTAGTTCTGTTTTGTTTATTCGCACTCAATATTATTTCTTGACCTAAACTTGTTTATTTTTACTTAAAGTGATCCCAAAGCTCTGAGGCGTGTTGTGTTCATTTAAGAGAAAATTAAAAAAATGTTTGGGCTAAATTTTTTTGATTACAACAAAAGGATAAATGCAGATCCAAGAAAGACTAACTTTTTTATTTTAGTTGAAGTGCGCTTTCTCCGTTTTGTTAAAGACCAAAAAGTCAGCATAATATACCCCGCAATCTACAAATGTCATAATTTATTCAAGCGCGTTTTTTTCCTAAGAGTTTTTAGTACATGACATCATCAACTTTTTAGTTTGTTTACTTAATCAACTTTTTACACAAATTGTGACGTCTTTCAATTGTCGCATATATTGTGCTGACTTTTTGACCTTCAACAAAATGTAGAAGGTGAGCTTCGACTAAAAAAAAAGGTTAGTTTTTCTTGGTGTGCATTTATTCTTTTGTTTTGATTAAAAAAGTTCAGCCCTAACGTTTTTTTTGTTATCATTTTTTTAAATATAAACACAGCATGTCTTGGAGGATCCCTTTAAGTATTATTAGCACTTGTTCAAAACAAACAATTTTTTCAAAAAATTTAAATTTTTATTTACCTTTAGTAAAAATTAAATATAAGCTTTTAGAAACATTTTAATTTTGATATTTTAGTTCTCTCCAGATTTTATAAAAATATTTAGTAATCAATTTAGTAAAAAAAATTGTTTTTAGATATTATAATAATTTTTTTGTCACTTTAGTGGAAATTTGAGACAAGTCTGAATGTCCATTATCCTCTTATTCGGTTTTATGTTCATTGTGCTCTTGTTTGGTTACTTTAGCACAATACTCTATGCAAATATTGATGGATTCATTCTTAACTTTTGTTTAGAATGGATAGCTACTGATGCTTGTATATTGAAAGAAAATTATGAAGAAAAAAAAACTTTTACATCTCTACTATAGCTTCTTCCCAACATTAGTTGAATGAGTTAAAAAAAAGTTTTAAATTCATTCAACTGATAAACATTTTAAATTAATTTCAACAAGTTAAATTCAGAACACATTGTACTTGTTTTAAACTTACATTTCAGTGTTTCTTAATTAAATGTAATCTAGTACAACTTGCCTCGTGTTCTGTTTTATTTGTTGGATTTTCTTTTTTAAGCAAATTTTTAAAGAAATATTAACTATGACTTAAAATACGCGTCTTGGTAAAACTATGGTATACTATAGTATACTTGGTATACAATGGTAAACTTGGTATAACTATAACTTAAAGTACCCCTTTGTCCTGGTAAAAAGACAGTAATAGCTAGAAATAGTGTCACAATATAAATACTCATCCTTAGTATGGACTACTATCTTGTAAAAGACCTCTTAAGCAAAAAAGAAAGTTTCTGTTGACCAGTCTTGCATTTTCTGAGGTACATTATTTCCTACCTTGGGTGAAAAGTACCAGATATCTTTGTATGGATATTTATGGAAATAAAGAGGTTCTTATTAGAAGAAGCAACCAAAATATGACTGCCGTCATATTTTGGTTGCTTCTTCTAATAAGAACCTCTTTATTTTTGACAAGTTCAAAATCGTTGTTGTTGGACCTGTTGCTAAGCTTGAGCCTTCGTCCCATTGCTGTAAGTTTTCATCTTTTTTTTTCCCCACAAGCGTTACCATGGTCACTGCACAAACAAGCATTACTTGTTCCATTAAGCAAAACTCAATCCGGCATCACTTATTATTCAGCTAGGTTACATCCTTTTACTGTGACTGTTTCTTTGTCTTTTTTTTTTCCTTGGTGCTTCATTGTTGTTGTTTTTTATGTTTTATGTTAACAGTTTTATGTGGACCAGCTTACTGTACTCCAACCTTAAAGGGAGCTTTATGCAAATTTTTATGGTAAAAAAAATTAATTTATGATGACAAATTTGCTATTAGGAAAAACTTAATGTATTTCTACAATTAAATTTTAAAACCATTAATTTCGAAAATCCATTCAATTATTTAAAATCATTTTTTAAATCTGCAAAACAAGACAAAAACTTATAAAAAGAGCAAAAATAGTCAGAAAAAATTTTTTTTAATAGTTTTTTTTTTATATTTAAATTAATATTTTGGTTTTTCTTTTTTTTTTTACTTCTATTTTCCTTTTCTTTATTTTATTTTAATGTGAATTGTACTCATAGGTGAAGTACAATTCTTGACTAGCATAATAATAGCACAATAAAGCAGTAGAGTGTGCGTGCATTGACTGATATAAGCATCGGGGTTTGAATTATTATTTTGTAGAAAAATAAAAACTTTTTATTAATTATTTATGTTAAATTAGTTTTTTTATATTTTGGCTTATATATTTGGAGCCTTTTTAAACTCTTTACAAAAGTTCAATGTTTAGGATAATGATGTCATTGCTACATATTATAATCTATATAGTTTATCTTTTAGATGTACTATTTTCTGTTATATTAAAATCAAGTTCCATCTACTACTATCTTGCTTTTTTTTTATAGGATGTTTTTATGCTTGTTTGCTGGAGTTAATATGACTAAATTACCACAGGTAAATAAATATTTATGTTAGATACCTCAGGTATCTAACATTTTTTCATTTACTCCATATTTGGGTTTTGATTGAAGATAAATATCTCTGAAAAATAACAACTGATATATATCAAAGGATCATTATCTAGGGCTGGATTTGTTATGGCTTTTTAGGGCAAATTAATTTTTGTTTCAAGACGTTTCAAAAGATAAGTTTTACTGTAATATGTTTCATATTATTACATATTTATTATTATAACTTTTTTTTTAAAGCAATTAAAAACTTAAAAAAAATATTATTTGCTTCGAGTTTGAATTTTATTTTAGTGCTTATAAGTTTCCTTTTTCGTAAAGAATTGTTTTCTTTTTTCTTTTAGTTTTTTTTTTTTTTTAATTTTTGTTTTTATGTTTTTGTTAATAAGCAACACGTTTTTTTAAAAAACTACCAAAAGCCAATGAGTTTTTCAGACTCTTTTGGCAGGTCCTTACTAAATCATCAAGAACAGTTTATGGCATTAGTTTACGGATGCTAGATTCAAAACTAACATAGTTATCATCAAGGTTATCATTCAGGTAGACATAAGTCTATTTTTAGTTAATCTTGATAATAACAATGACAGTTTTATAAATTTACTGTCATTTAATACATTGTCATGTGTATATACTTGAACAGAAAATTTAATATATATAGCACTCCAAATGACTTATTATTTACTTAGTCCATTGTTCTCCTAAAGCAGCCTTATTTTGATCTGTTACCTTACAGTCCTTGTAGAAAATTTAGCACTGTTTTTTAAATGTATTTTTTTTTTAATAAGGCTGCAAGCAACCACTAATTAAGTTGCAAGTTCAAACAGGTAGATCTCATTTGGACAGTAACCATGGTTACTGCTCAAATAATATCCATTCTTTTAAGCAGCTCTAACAAATTTACAGTGCATTTTTGGACTTGTGAACTGAAGGATAATCTAAGAAGACCTAAAGTAGAGAAATCAGTAAGAGTCTTTCTATTCATTAACTTTGAAATTTTATAAAAAAATTTTGGAAGTAGGAAGATAAAGTTTATAGAGCAAGATAACTCTTGGCAGACGACTTAAAAGATTGCAAATTGTATGAATCAGAATAACAAGATAAAGGAAGCGAATTCCAAAGACCTGAAAAAAACTAGAAAATAAGAATTTTTGGAGCACTTAAAACTTGTTGCCTGTTCTAAGCAATAAAAAAGAGGTGATATAATATGAAACAAGTTCATAGAAAAGACAAGCAATTCAGACTTTATTGATGCGCTTTGAAATGTCAAGGCTCTATTTAACTATTGCCTCATCCTTTCAGTTTTCAACACAATAGAACTACGATTAACTTTTCAAAAGTAGATTGAGATGATCAAAGTTTGTCAATTTTTTAGCAGATTTACATAAATTCAGTTTAAAGAGTAATGAAGAGAATTGAGAAAGCGTTGTGACAGAAACAATCATGTCACTATCGCGTCACAATCATGTCACAATTTGTATCGTGACAGAAACATCGTCACAAGTTGTATCACTCTCTGACTTCAATGTTCACAAGGTGTAGAATGGTTTAAGTGGAAAATAACTTTGAGAGTTTATATAGTTTATAGTATGAAAAGAAGCACCTAACTCTTAAATCACATAAATTAAAATTACAGGAAGAGTTTTGCTATTATATAGATTAAAGAGATAAGTTGGAGAAAAAGTTCTTTGCAAAAAGTTCTGTCTTATCCTTAGGTAGCCATTCCAGACGATTTTTTTATAATTAAAATATTTAAATATAATTAATTTCTTTTTATAGAGCTTGGCTTGGCTTAAAAAATGAGAGGTCATTCGGCCTTTGAAGTTAAGCAGATCAAAAGTTATTGAACTTTTTGTAGTTGAAAAATTGATGATTTTTTGACAAAAGGCATAGGGCTTAAGTATGGAAAATTTGCTATGTTATGGCACCGAAAATGAGAGCATTATTGACTTTTAAATAACTTTTGAACCGTTTATACATTTGACTTGAAATTTTTCACAGTGACCCACCAACTATAAGAAAATAAAATCTCAAAATTTCTTTTAAAAAATCTGTCGGAAATGACCAGGATCGTCTATTTTACAGACTTAAGGTTTTTACTAATTTTTATGTTTTTTTTGGGTCATACTGACTTTTGAGTAACTCTTGAACTGTTAATACATTTTACTTGAAATTTTCCATAGTGACCCACCAACTATATAAAAATAAAATTCCAAATTTTTTTTTAAATCTGTCGAAATTGTCAAGAATCACCTGTTTTACAGACTGAGAATTTTTACTAATTTATATATTTTTGGGGTCATACTGACTTTTTAATAACTTTGAATCATGAATCGTGATTATATTTGACTTGAAATTTTTCATCAAACAGCTATAAGAAAATAGAAAAGTAAAATTTTTTTGATTTTGCAATTAAAAAAATTTGGGTCGCTATTGTCCAGAATCATCTATTTTACAGCCTGAAGGTTTTTATATTATTTTCTTATTTTTGGAGAATAAAATTTAGAGTCAAGTTATAATTATACCATGCAAATATGCTTAAAGAAATCATGGAATCCACAAAATACATAATTTGAAAACTATTGCATAATTTACAGACCGGCCAGTAAAAAAAATAGCATAAATTACAGATTGGTCAGTAAATAGCTGAAAATGGGCTGTACATTTACAGACCTGTCAGTGAAATTATAGCATAAATTACAGACGGGTCAGCAAATTACAGAAAAATGGATGTACAAACCAATTGGGCATATCGACTTTAAATACATTTATTACTTTTGAACTGTTACTACGTTTTATTTTAAATTTCAGGTTTTTTTACTTATTTAATTATGTAAAGAAGAACAATAGTTAGGGTTACCGTATACAAATATGTATAAAGGAATCATAGAATTTAAAAAATACATCATTTTAAAATTATTGCACAATTTACAGACCGGTCAGTATGTTTCTGCAAAAGGGTTGCACAAACCAATTGGACAATTTGACTTGTTTCATAATTTCCAACTGTTATTATGTTTGACTTGAAATTTTTGATAGGGATACAAAACTATAAGAAAATTAAATGCCATAATTTTTTTTACATTTGTCAGGATTATCTAGAATCGTTAATTTCACAGACTAAAGTGTTTTTACTTATTTACCTAGTTTTAGAGAATAAAATTTCGAGTTATATTACTAAAACTCCATGCAAATATGCATAAAGGATCATAGAATCCAATTAATTCCTCTGTTTAAAACTATTGCTTAATTTTCAAACCGATTAGTAAATTACTGCATAAGGGCATTGAAATCTACCTGAAACATTCAGAATTACTTATTTAACAGACAGAAGATTCATAAATAAAATTATAATTTGAATTTAAATGAAAATAACTTACAGCAATTCCTTGAAATTTTTAGTACATCCGAAATAGCAGGTATAGCAGCAGAATCTCTACCTAAAAGTGTAATAAAATTATTATTAAAAACACAGATACACAATTATTTTTAAAATAGGGTAATTTGGGGCAGTATGAGACACTTAAGGATTACAAATTATGTAAATAGACCTGGAATTAAGCAAAAAACTAAACAAGTGTGCAGTAAATCTTACTTAGGGTAACTCTTTTCAAAACTTATAAGTAAATTTTTAAATTCATTTTTAATTGGATACACAGAGGATTTTATAAATAGCAACAGCGTGTCTCATGTTCCCCACCTTACGGGGCAAAACGAAACAGCATATGTTATGCAACTAAAGAGAAAAAATAAGAGACTTATCCAATTATTTTTTATCATAAAAGATGTTAAATATAATTCATAAAAAATATAGTAACTTTAGCTTAAAAAATTAACCTGCTTGGCTAATCTAACCACAGTTAAGTAAGCCTTAAAAAAACATAGGTTAAAATTAGAGATTAAATATTAAACATAGATAATATTAAATATTAAACATAGATATTAAACGTAGTTCAAACTTAAGCACCACCCAAACAAATTTTTGCACAAGTTATACTCAACTATAAGACATAAATTAATGGATTAGAGAATGTTTAAATATAATCATGGCACACACACAGTTTACACAAAAAATCTGTCCCTAACTTAACAAAATAAACTTCATGGTACCATAATTTACACCTAAAGCATTGGACACATTTCTGGCTAGACTCTGATATTTTTTGGTTTTCTCCATATTTAATTTTATCATCTTTTTTTAGTTTAATCTTTTTTTCTGATGGTCTTTTTTTGTTGTATTTAACTTTTTTTTTGTTTTCCAACCCCTCCTGCAAAGTTTTTTTATAATATGTGCTAGTCAAAATTTCTGACTTTTCTCCCTTTCTTTTTGTTGTCTTCACTTCAATAGCTGGAATTGATAATATATCAGTAAAAGAAAGCTGTTGAGAGTTTGAAATTGACAACAAGCATTTATTTCATTAACTGAAAAACTAGCAATGGATGTTTGAACATTCGAATTTTGGTACTAAGTTATAAGCACTTTTCAAAGATTTGAACAAAGTTCGATCAAGTGGTTGGAGCTTATGGGATGTATGTGGTGGTAGTGATAAAATATGCAATCCATTTGTGCTAGCATAATTGAGAAGATCGAAATTTTTGGTGTGTGATTTGTGACCATCAAGAATTAACAAGCACTTATTTGTAGTGCTACAATTTCCATGTATTACAAAGTGTCTTATAAAATCCATAAACAAATTTGTATCTACCCAACCACTTTTAGAACAGCGTCCAAGTGTTTCTGGTGGTGCATCATCAATCAACGAATCTAGCATCCGTTTTCTTTTAAAAATAATCATAGGAGGTATGTAGTGTCCCACACAATTAAAAGCTAGTAAAACAGTTGTTGTTTGGCCTCTCTCACCACTAGTTACTGAAGATACAACACGTTGGCCTGTAAAAATACAATTTTAAAAATATAGTTAATACAAAAAAATAAATAAATAGACACACAAATAATAATTTGGTTTTTCACTAAAGCAAATAAAAAAA